GGGTTTAGGGTTTAGGGTTTAGGGTTTAGGGTCCTGGACCCCACAGCCCAAGTTTCACCTTTTGAGCTAGCCTTGGGTCATGGAGCTAAGCACGCCGGAATGTTTCTGGTGCTTGAGGGCTCAGTGGTTTAAGCCCCTTAGGGTCAAGTTTCGAAGCTTCGGGTTGGGTACTCTCAAGAAGGATACAATTCAAACCCTAACCCCACCCGATGAACAAGGATGCCATGATCCCCGTGGTCCCTGAGGTGCGAACCTTTGGCGGATATGGTAGGTTCATTGATGAAACCCCTCAACCCTGAGATGGGGATTTACGAAAATCAGGGACCCCTAATAATCCCAATATAGACCCCCAACAGGTAGGATTCCCTTTTATGACGGGCCCTTAACAAGCTACGCTTATTCTCGGTAACTGCCAAGCCCTGCCGGGCCTCTCTCCCCGTGGAGCGCGCGCCGCGCCTGCGCGAAGCTGGCGCGCACGGCGGCAGCCTGTCAAGACGCGAGGTTTGGAGCTTGAGGCCTGAAAACTCGTTGTCTGAAGTCTCGAGGCTCAGGGGCTAAGAGATCGCAGTTTGGGGGGAACACCTACGCCTACCCCTACATTATACCTCGGCAAAGCGAGCTCTGGAAAGAACACAACTTGTCCAATAGCAGAGCGATGAAGGCGAAAAGTGTGGGTCTTCTATGCCCTGCTTACATTCAAGGGTATGCTTCGATATGCCGCTACCCAGCTCGCACATTCCCCTTAACAACCCCCCAGTCGCCAACCCTAAGCCCTGAACCCTAAACCCTAACCCTGGACCTCGAGGCCCAGCGCGAGTCCCGGCATTGGCGCCAGCACGGCAAGGAGGGCGCCTGTAATGTTTTCGGACTTCACTTTCTTAAGGCTAAGGCTCACTTATTAAGTCTTTTGGGAACGTTGACCCCGCTATGTCAGCTGCTGACGTCTTTTGAGCCTACGGGTTAGGGCTGCTGACTCATGATCTGGTGTTGAGGGTTGAGGGCTTCGGGGTCGCTGGTGTTCTTTCAAGGTCAGGGTTGCAAGCTGTTAATCTTCTCTGCAGAGATTGTTGGGTTTGCAAAACCTGCCTCTACATTCTAAGGACCCTATGAAACTCCAGAAACCTCTAAAGCCAAACGCCCTAAACCTTACTATCAAGCCTTTGACCGCAAGCCTCTCGGAAGCACCCAAGGCCTATCAAACCCGAAACCCCAAAACAACAAGCCTGTTGCAAGCCTTTGCAACCTTGCACGTAATGCCCGCTCCAGGTCTTTAAAGCCCACTGCCTTCCAAAAAGGGCCCCCCATCCCTCAAATCCCGGAAGCCCTCCTGCCCCCCCCCCCCCCAAAGCAAGACTAACCCCGGAATCCTCAACCCTTTATAGGGTTTAGGGTTTAGGGTTTAGGGTTTAGGGTTTAGGGTTTAGGGTTTAGGGTTTAGGGTTTAGGGTTTAGATGGTAGTAACAAAGACGAAGCAGAATTCCAAAAAGGGGGATCCTGGAAAAAGCCTTCACTGATCGGAGAGCGGCCTAACGTGCGATCTGCGGCCCAGAAGTCGCCCTCCACCGCCACCTGCGGAGAAGATTGAGATAGAGTTTAGGGTTTAGGGTTTAGGGTTTAGGGTTTAGGGTTTAGGGTTGAGGGTTGAGGGTTGAGGGTTGAGGGTTGAGGGTTTAGGGTTTAGGGTTTCGGGTTTAGGGTTTAAGGTTCCAAGTTAAGGCCCCTTTCGTTCACCTGGGCGATTTTGGAGTGGAGACGTCCTGACCTACCAGGGCACAGGCACGAAGGGCGTTAGGTTTTCGGACAGTGCAAGGGTCGGGCATGGCAAAATGAAGGCTTTTTGGGGGCCTATCTAACGGATGCTGGGTGATTTGTGTACGGCGGCCTGTCCGAGGGAATTGCCCATCACAGAGACGACTCTGCTTGGCTTTTGTATTTTCAGGGTAAACGTGCTAAAATGTCGCGCTTGCACAGGCAACATAGGCCCCGAAGCGCGCGCAAGAGGGACGCATCGCGCTCAAAGACATGCAGCACCATACGTTTTGGCGGCCCTCATGAAAACGAGCCTGCGAGTACTACCACCAAACATGCTGAGGGAGTAAAACACGCATTCTTGCCCTGCTATTGCGGTTGCTTTAGGTTTTAGGGCTTGCGGACAGGAGTGTATAGCTTCCCCAGTACCCTTAGAAAACAAAAGTGCCTCTAGTTTTGCCTACTGGGATCCATGAGCAAGCCCAGCCCTACAACAGGGAACAGGGGTATCACTGGGTATTACTGGGTATCACTGGGCATCCCTAAACCCTGAATCTTAAACCCTAAACCTGAAACCCTAAATTCAATCCCAAGCCCTAAACCCTAAACCCTAAACCTTAGACCTTAAACCCTAAACCCTAAACCTAAACCTAAACCCTAAACCCCAAACCCCAGCTGGAGGTTTTAGGTCTGGGGCCTGGAGGTCGGCCAGTAGAGCTGCCGCCACGGCCCAGCTGGCGGAAGCAAGCCCTGGGAATTTCGAGTTTAGGGTTTAGGGTTTAGGGTTTAGGGCCTAGGGTTTAGGGTTTAGGGTTTAGGGTTTAGGGTTTAAGGGATTCGGGTTTAGGGTTTAGGGTTTAGGGTTTAAGGGATTCGGGTTTAGGGTTAAGGGGTTCGGGTTTAAACCCTTTAAGGTTGAAGGTTTAGGATTTAGGGCTTCTAAGTTAAGTACAACAAAGGTACTTAAGACAAGGAAAGACGCACAACGGGCACGCCTATTTTCCTTGAGCCAAAATACAATCAGTCATCCGAATCTGCTCTCCTAACCCTACTTGGTATGTACAGCTAAACGGTGGTTTGGGGCCAGTTTAGTTAACTCCCCCCTTTAGGAGACAGAACGGTGAGACTGGACTAGCAGATTGAGGGCAGGTTGAAACCTGCGCTCAGTAGTGTTGCGCGGTCTGAAGGACTCAAGCGCTCGGCATTTCTGATCAGGAATGCTATGGCAACGATTCGTTCTGAAGCCTCACATCCTGTCAGGACTGTGCAGTGGCGTGCTCTGGGATTGAAGAGTGCAGGGTTACACAACATGTGACCCCATAGGCTGTCGTCGTTTGGACATTGGACAGTCCCTTCCTCATCTTCTACCCACAATATGGGTCCACTTGTTGGATTTAACGCTACAAGGAGGTTCTTTGAGCCTTCTGCATTGTTGGAGTCTCGGTGGAGCCCCGCGACTACACCTTGCTGCACGATTATGCTTGAGAACTTGTGTGATGGCATATAACGTCGAAAGAATCGACATATCAACGCCGTTGCATATTGAAATTTGTGTGTGTTTGTCTGCAGGCCAAACACTCCTCCTAAGACAAATGCGCCCGCAGAAAATACATGCGAGTCGTGCCCCGGTGCCCCCCTCTTATCAGGACCATGAGGTAACAGCGTCAGTAGCTGCACCAGATGCTGACAAGTCGGGACCTTTGGGCAACTGCCTGCGAAGACTTCTGCGGCAAGATTTGCCTCTGCAAGTGCGGCGACGGCAGTTTCCAGGTGGGGTCCATCGCTGGATGCTGTCAAGCCAAACTGTGCGAGAGTATGTGGCCATTCTGCAGGTGGAATGACTTTTGTTAGGCCATTAGCTATCTGAGATTCGCTCTTGCAGTACACGGCAGTGACTTGTGGCGACTCTAGCTGTTCAGACATTGATGCAATGTTGACCCTGTGGACTCGATTGCAGTGTCTCAGCTTCGCCGAATAGCCTGTAGCCAGGACTTTGAGCAAGGTCTCGTTGTCTTGATGGAATACGACGTCGATAGCACGACCGAGGAGATGCTCCATCATGACCTGAATGTTCAAGGCCTCACCAAACATGGCGGAAGCCATTGCTATGGCCTCAGCCTCGGGAGTGCTTCTTGCAACACTCGTCTGTTTCTTAGATGCCCACCACAGCGGAAAGCGGAAATCTGTTGACCCTATAGTCATGTAGATCCCGCTCGTCGATTTTGCACTATGCGGACAAGAGGCGAAATCACTGTCAGTGAAGATGTGGATCTGGGGAGCTTCGTGATGGTTCACAGTAGCAGCTAAACATAAGCCTGTTGTACCGTGAAGATACGAAATCAGGCGAAGTAACTGCTTGTCTTCCCATTTAGTCCACGCGGCCACTCGTGACGCTAACCGACCGATTATGAAACACAGATCAGGGCGAGCCAACCGACCCAGCCAAAGTGCTTTCATAAGTACCTTTGCAGCTACATGGCTCAGTGTGCCGGGTTGCTGCAGGTCCTCATCTGACATTAACGCCTCGGACAAACTTGGGGTTGTGACGTTACGGAGCTTTGCCTTTGGGACATCAGCAAGCTCGCAGTACGCCTCGACGACCTGCTCTGCGAAAGCAGACATATCAAGCACAAGAGTTGTGAAGTCACTGCCTCGTTGGATTCGGTGACCTCTGCCAAGGATCCGTGCATTCGAGGCTTCGATGTAACATTCGTCTTCCAGCTTGATATGCGCTCTCAGCCTTTTCCAAAACTGTGCATGAAGATGCTTTGCTCCCGACAACGTTAGGTCATCTACATACACGTTAAGTAGCAGGGTATGGGAACCCATTTGAAAGATGAAGTTTGAAGGAAACAAATCCATCTCAATGCCACCAAAGGAAGTGAGAACAGAGGCTAGGTGTTTCTGCCATAGTTTGCCAGCAAGCGGATGGCCATATAAGCTTCGCTTCAACCTTACCACCAACTTCGACCCTGATGGGTACGCTTTGTGCCAAGTGTCCAACCACAGCTCCTCGGGGAGGATAACCCATGTGTCGGGCTCTCCTGCCTCAGCGAGGTCAGCTTGAAGAAATGCCTGAATGGCATCTGCAAGGCTCACTGCGTTTCCATCTTGGCAGCCGAAAAACAATGCGATGTTAAGGGCAACCAAGGAAGTTGGTGTGGTAGCCACGTCTTCAAAAAGAACATGGTTTCCGAACTGGTCAAAAATGCAGTCCCCCCTGTACACGATTCTCCCTTTGAACTTGTGTTCATGCTCAGGGAGTTCGAAATGTTTTATCCCACATAATGTGAGAAGCTCTGCAATTTTGAGTTTACGGTTTTGCCGTTTTGCATCGGCACGCAAGGAAGACAAAAGACAGACTGTCAAATCATCCCACGTTCCGTTAGAACGTAACCCTTCTGCCTCCTTCTTCACGGCTGCAACTCCGCGCAGGTCTGCTTTCCATTCCCGCTTTGTTAAGTTCTTCGTGACCATGGAGGGGATGTGGCGATGGTAGCGTTGCGGATACCACGCTTCGACGATGTTGTGAGCGAGCTCTCGTGGGTATGCTTCAGTCTGCTTTGTTTGTGAGCCTTCGGCGGCCTCGTGCTGGTGGCTACCGTCACATTGCAGTTGTCCAAGAAATTGAACAAGTCGCAGATCATTAGTGGCTACGCTCCAGGGCTTGCGGATTGGATGCTCTCGGCCCTTCACTCCAGCCATGCAGCCATCAAAAGACACTTTGTGTAGACCATGTTCATCCTGAAATTCTTTCCATTCAGGGAGATCCCACCAGCCGGACCCTTTGGGCCACTCGACTGCGATCCTTCCATGATTTGCGATGGCAGTTGCGAGTACCTTGCGGGCATACAAGAACATAAGCTTGCTCTTCTCTTGGCGATTCCGAAGACCCTTTCCGTACTTCGCCCCATGCCTATGGACGTTCATGTTCTGCCACGGACTGAACTCGGTGCACGGCAATGAGAGCCACACATCACAACCTGGCGATGCTTCGACCTGACCTTGAACTTGTTTGACATGTTCTTCGTTGGACAAATCAATCATGCTTCGGCATAAGCGGATACTGTTGATGCCAATTTCGGACGCAGCTTGCGAAAGCTCTGAACTGTCGCCACACGCATATTCGAACAACACATCCTTGCCTATGAGCGTTTGCACCTTTCTTTGGCGGACTCTTTCCCTGTTGACATCGACAAAGACTTGCGTCACACCGAGCTCGACCTTCGCAACAAGACCTTCTACAGCGGGCTCACTCGAAGGGTGGAGACCAACGCCTTCGGGGAGCTCAGCTGGAGGAACTGGCTCAGGGGGCTTGGACGTCAACGCAATCCTATCAGCCTTTATCAGGGCATCGAATCTTGCTCGGCATTTAGGACTATGCTTCACGGAATCGAAAGTGCATGCTTTGCATCCTGGCGTGGCACCGAACTTAAGAATGCGTTCAAGCGTAATGTACTCTGCGCGCCTTCGAGGAGGATCAGCAGGGGACAGTGAGCTGAATGGTATGTCCAGCGCTGTGATAGCCTCAAGTTTGGGATCCTGGAACTCGCGAAGAGCAAGATCCGCCGCGGCCTTTAGCGGGAAGGTCTCAGTCTCTGGGACATGCACTTCCGCATATGGCACGGGGATCATGTCCCTATACCCAATCGACTTGGACTTGACGGCTTCATAGTCTAGCACCCAGATCACGTCACGATACACAAATCCGTGCTCAAACCTCCAACCTGCAAATAGTCCGGGAGCAGTTGTAGCTTCGAACTTATGCCTGCGGCTGGGGTCATGGATCCTGTAATGCACCAACTGTCCCAAGGGAAGCCTTGGGCCTTCGAATGGGGAACCAGTTGCAACCTCGAAACGCGACTTGTCTTTGCCCTGCCACGGTACAACTGTCAAAGTCTGCGCGGCAAACTGCACGGACACATGCCACAGATCTGGAACCACATGGAACCCAGCAGCCAAATGCACCGCGCGAGTCGATTCCTCGAGAGTTCTTATCTCTCTCTCAAGTTGGGCGTTGTGTGGAAATCTGTTTTCTAGGGTCGCTTCATGCACCCATCCTATTTGTGAGACGGCAGCTATTAACTCCTTTGCATCATCAGCCTTACACAACACGTTCGGGAGGTGCTTGTATCGGGCGCCTACAAAGGTAAGGAGGTTCTGAGCTGCTCTCTCAGCTGTGCGCGCACAGACAAAAGCTCGCAGTGCACCACTATATTCATCCCTGATGACATGGACTGCATGCTCACGCTTCGAAGGGATTATATAGTCTGTTGCAATCCTCTCGCCAAACTGTTCAGCAGGAGGCAAGTCACCTCTGTCTTCGAGAGGCTCTGCACGCTTCTTGGTGACTCTTTGTCGATACATGCGGCTTCGCTGACATATCTCACAGTAGGGATTCTTAGGGATATGCGTCAACTTGTGTGCCATTGAAGAGGCCTCCTTGATGAGTTGCTTCTGACGTTCTGATGTTACGTCCTCTCCTGAGTCCGACCCAGAACCTGGCGGAATGGCAGGTGGAGGAAGTGGAGGTGGCGGGACCTCGGGTTCTACTGGAGCAGGAGGTTCCGGAGCCTTCGCTGCTTCAGCAGGTTTAGGAGCTTTTGCACCTTTGACCTTGTCCTTTGGACTTGGTTTAGCCTTTGGCTTTCTTGCTGAAGAGGACTTTGCCCTAGACTTCAGCTCGTCATCAGAGCCAGGTGGAGGATCTCTAGACCCGGAGGCGGTCTTTGACGGCACCCCTGGATCCT